GTGGTCAGATTTAGGTACCTCATTTCCCAAATTTTTCCTCATTTAACTTAGGTTTTGTGGCAGATCCCCTCATATCAACTACATAGTGTATGGCAAGAGAATGATGGTAAGGCTTAATAACGCAATGTAGTTAATGATACCTTTCAGAGAAGAAACGTAAAACTATGGAGGCGAATGCTGGAAGATTCGGTTTCGCAGACTATGAACGAGAGAACGAAAGCAAGAGACTTTGTGGGGACCAATCAGAAGAGATGGACAACATGGGCAGTATCGCGCTGTGATGACAGCAATAAGTCGGAGTGAACAGATGGACCAGAGGAACAGATCAAACTGTTAGTTGGAAGCGAAACCAACCGTTTCGTCTACATTGGACGTACCATGCGCAATGTTAGTTAAGCAACTCGCTGACTGATTTTCAACTAAGTTACTGTGAGTTTATTCGTTGTTTAACTGAGCCAAAAGAAGCGCATGGGCCAAACAGGCCGTTGGTAATGGAGGCAGTCCACTGGTAGGCAAATTGCGGGTCGGAGGTGTTGCCGGTTGCTGTTAAATTGTTGGCTAAATAATCCGACAATCCAGGAAGAGTCGACTATTGCAACCACATGTAGCTACGAGGACAGAATTTAGGATCGCTCGAGGACAGGTAAATCGTGACTCTGCGATTGAATTCATATTGCGTCTCTGCAATTAAACTGAATCAAACCATTAGCAAGAAATTCACGGTAATGTTTCACCAGTCCGTATTTCAAATTAATAGGGAGAATGTTTTTTTCAGAAAATCCCTGCTGTGAAAACATACAACTGACAGTTAGAATGTAGACAACAGCTTGTTGTACTAATTATTCTACGAATTACCAAATTCATTACAGTTGTTTTAATGAACGATTTCTGCAAGGCTGTATAAAAAGGTCAAATGGCTGTTTCGTACCGTAATTACCAGTCTTGGCTGTAAGGACGTAGCATATATGCTTAGTAAGTGATCTGCAGATAGCTGCACCAACAGCTTTGATATTGGCAGTGGTACATTCATCAGAAAGAACCACTTTTAACATTTTTCACCCATTGCAACGGAGGAATTATTCGATTTCACAAACCGAATTTTCTGTTTTTATTTAAATCTATACTGGACTATTTTAAGGGGAAAATTCCATAAAACAATGCAAATGATCGTTTATTACAATAATATTGACATCAGGCGCTGATATACGAAGAGACTTACACTAATGTCCACAAGTCAGTTTATTGGAATTTTCCCGCTAGACTGGTGGAACGCTACCGAAGTTCACGTCTGAACGGCAGGGCCTAAAAACTAACAACCGCATTGACCGGAAGAATGGAGAAAAAGGATAGGTGCGTAAATAGAGTCCAGTGTGGCGAAGTATATGGCTTAATATTCGACTCTGACCAACTGAAGCTTCCCGAAGGAAGTGTGTGAGGGGATTAGCAGTTTCCCAAGAAAGACAGATGAAACACATGTACAACGTACGCGGTTTCTTCCGCTATATGTACTGAGATCATGTACGAATACCTAGGTCAAATCATTCCGGCTAGTTATGGTTCTGGATAACCGTTAAAGTACCTATAACGGGAAGACTAGCGACAATGGGTCGCAGAACAGCAGTAGAAACCAGTGGTGCATCAGAAGTCTTACACAGAGCAACAAGATATCGGAACTAGCATTTTCTGAGATTGTCCTTGTGAGGGTTGAGGACGTGTATAGCGCCACTGGCAAAATTGTTGGGTGGACATTTTCGCATTCGATACAATAGCCGAAGACTCAAGTGGCAGTAAAAGTCGTATGTCTAGCACTGGAGGACTACCGACTAGTCGAATGAATTTCCGGGGCATTGTGGAAGCGATGGAAGTTAAATGCATTGAAAAGCGGGACCCAAAACCTTACCAAGTGAACTGGTCAGCTGAGGCGACGCAATACGAAGCATCACATAAGGAATCGCGAGGTGTCATTGCCATTAGGTCACTAAAGATCCAACCGTAGAATTAGCCAGTCAATCCCTATATCACAAACTAATAGTTACTACCCAAAGGAATGACACAGTGTACCATAGGTATTTATGGGGTGACACTAAGGCGGCGTGTGTATGTGAGTCGGTACTGAGTGAGTTCATGAATTTGCAAATGAAGTAATCCTCAGCTCCTATGTTTAAGGTGTTCGAGTTGCAGTGCATGGTTTGAGAACTTTCGGAGTTACATTCCACACTCTTCCCTAGGTACGTAAACCGCAACAACCAGAAAGCATGACTTTTTGTTGGCAAAGGCCAATTGCGAAGATCACTTGGTGTTCAAAAGAAAAATACAGTCCATTGAATTGCCAAGTAAACAAAATGAAGTCCGCAAATACCATATTCTCAGAACGCTAAACAAGGATTTCTCGAACACTCAACCGGCATGTGTGTGAGTTTCCCGAATATAACATAAATCTTGTAGCCATTCCTGCATGGGAATGAGATTAATCAAACATAGTTTGAAGGATTTGTTTTGAGTACAATAACTTAAGTAAAAGTTGAGCAAATCCGATCTTATGTGAGCCATCTACAAAACAGAAATGAGAGTGCTCCCACCACAATAAGCAGACGTGGAGCGCACGGAAGGTCAGTCTTATGCAATCCGGAGGAATACAGCAGAACCACACATTACCACATATTTGGACTGAGTATCCGCTAACGGGTGATATCATGATAGTAAGCCGGTATACCGGGTTGCAGGACCGATGCAAAATGAGTATCAGGTTTTCGACAATAATGGTGTCACAGGAGTGAAACGTTTTCCAGACCCCAGTGCGTCAATCGGCTAGCAACCATGAAAAGATACACAAAGTAGGAGCAATACGCTAGAGCAGGTGAAGACAGAACAGCATCGTATCGAAATTTCAATATTCACGTGGCCGTGTCTCTTATCAGATACAACTATGCCCCGGAAATATCGCCTCGTTCGCTAAATTAAGTAGGGACCTACTGGACTTCAGGGAGAAGTGAAGATAGGCATCATCAACCAGAGATTAGGAGGAGGAAGCCAAGCGTCAAGTCCCGAAGGCACAGTCTGCCGGTTTTCCTCCTAACTTGAGAGTATGGCCGATGATCGGGGCTTTTCATGCCACAAAAGTGGATGGTGAATAGACGGAAATTCCAATAATGTGATCTGATTGTCTATCTTAAACATGTGCCGGAAGAAATCATCGTTCCTCAGCAGGATGGATTCGCAAGATTACCCCGAACACAAAAGCGCAGATGTCAAATCAATCAAGTGACCGAAAAGACCAGTCTTGTGCATGTTAACAATGAGGCACAAAGAGATATTAAATTTACCAGAACCCACAGACCCATCGATAAGCGATTAAACAAGACAAATTACTGCAACCATGGCAAGAAAGAAAAAGGTATATTTGAAGGCGACTGCCCATATTTGATTTCCTAGAAGACCACGTACATTAAAGGAGGTTAGATTGATGCGGTCGTAAAAAAAAACTAACAGTCATTTAAGCAAGCAGTACTCATAAGTAATGTTAAATGGCTTAGTGCGAACCCACCCCCGTGCGTCCGACGGACTGAGGCGCGCTACTATTGAGTAGTATGGGTAAAAACAAGCAGGCGTGAGGAAGCAGTCATGGTTGGTTGCGAAGGAAGGAAGCGTCATGCACAAACCAACCTCCACCCATACGCTGTGCATGAAGGCGCGCAGAATCCGGAACGTTACCATGATGGAGGTGCACAAATGGATCTAACTTTCTATGTTTGAATTATTAAGATATCTAGACGTGGGTTCTCTAATACACAACTCGTTTGCATCGCATTGTGGTCCAAACATTTGGTACCGTTACCAGAGTGTTCTCGATTGGATGTACATATTTTGATCACCAAAAGAATGGACAATCTCATCAACCAAACAACAAATAATCGGCACTACGAAGTGACACAGTACGGGAGCTCTTAGGTCACGCTATTGGAATCCGATGTCAGATGTTTGCCAGCTGGGGCTTTTAAAGAAAGTGGAGGCTGCGCTATTTAGCTGATTACGTGTCAACCGCAAGGCAATCCTAAACAGTCTTACTCAAGTGGTTGGTTATGCAGTTACCAAGAGGAAAGGACTGGTAGGGCAATATGCATGGAAAATGAATGAACAATTCGTCTCTGAGATGAAGAACAAGTTTGTGTTTGCCAACAAAAAGTTATAGGTGTTAAGCATTCCTTGCAAATTGCACCTCTCCTTATGTGCACGTCGCGATCACAGTGCGGCTTTTTTGAAGGAAGCGTAGCGGTTAGTGTTTCTTAGTGAATCACTTTCTCGCCTTCCATTGGCGCCAGTAAGGGATCAGTTTAATTGGGATTTCATGCCTCTAGCTAATCTCTAGACATACAAAGAAATCAACTGGTAAAATCAAACGGCGCAGTCCTCCAAAGTAGTTCAAAATTAACTAGATAAAAGCTCACCTCTCATGAACACAGTTTGGTCACAGCTAGTGTATCCGACGCCATAATAAGGAAGAATTGAGTCAAATGACCTTGAAGACAATAAGATCGCCAAGTAGTGGGTACCAGTGAGATGCTTCCCTGTGGACAACCTACGGATCGTTTAATCTATTAAAACCATTGAAAGACAACCCGCCATGCGACAACTAAATGGGTTACTAGACTAGAACACGGCAAGCAGCCTCCAGTCATGACAATGTCGAGTCACCTGCCAAGCGAAACATCAGTCGTGTGCAAACAATTCACCGTTAACCCCAAAAATGCCTAGCTACATGACCTAATCTGAATCCTCTTGGCGAAAAGAATGAAGGTAAAGAACATAATCAGCAACTCACGCACTCGGAGCCCATTTATAAACAAATGCCAACCAATACAATAGCATTAAGAATGGTAAAATATATTAAGAGAATGGATTTGTTTTGGCGATGCTTATGTACATTTTATGAGACGGTAGAAAAATAAGGCCAAGATGCACCATCCAGTCAGAGTATCGTAGTGTTGATTGGTGACTCAGCATCAACACATGGCGCGACGTTGATATTCAGCGGTTGCTACCGTGTAATCTTCCAGCCGAAAATAGCGCTTCCGATTCTGATGCAGAAAGCTGAAATGAAATGCAAGTAAACCAGCTACTAGTGTATGATAGTAGTATGATTATTAAAGAAAATAACGAAGATATAATAAGGGATGTGGACACAAATCGGGGAATCCACCAGTTTTTCCTGACCAACTTTATAAGGATGATTTACAAGTGCGGCCATCAAAAGAATAATAAAACATGCAAAGAAGTGTAGAATCAAATCCTAGTTTACGCAACTGCAGTGAAAAGCAGTATCATCGCTTGAAAGTGGACGGAATAACTTGTCACTTGACTACCGTAGATTACCGAACATAAGTCGTGGCTTCTACTTTCTTCGAACTTCACACTACTCACAAACATCCACCAATTTTTGAATAGTTCGTTTCTGCAGAAGGGGAGGGGGTCGGCTTATAAAGAGGCTATCGGGAAATCGAGAAAAGCCATATGCAAAAGCCACACAGAAATTCATTGCACACCACCGCCATTATCTCCCCTTAGCACCACCCGCCAGTGACGGACGGTATTCCAGATGGGAATTTGATGTGCCTATAACTGGACACGTTACTTTTGTGTCAAAAATTCTCTGCATATTGCACATCTGACGTTCGCGACGGATGGTAGTAGCGAATCAAAAGTCCTTAAACATTATGTTATGCCAGGCGATCCAGTGCATTAAATGTTTAACGTCGTCCCACTCCCCTGACCGTGAACTTCACTCACACTCACTGCTCTACTGACGCCCCTTCTCACCTACTGCCATATAATCGGCTATCGTAACTGTTTCATATGACTTGACGTCCGGTTAATACACTGTCCGGTGCGGTGAAAGTCTGTTCTGACGGCCCAACGCCCCAGTAACCGCGATTACCACCTTACGGTCACCACAACTGACCGATAGTAGAGCAGGATTCAATTGAATTCACTCAAGTGAGGGCAGATAGTGATGACGTCAAGATCATTGAGAAACAATTTCTTTTCTCTTCTACTGATTTTTTAGGGGACGGCTACTTTGATGTCGCAAAGCTATATCGTCGGCTTATCTATGAACGGGCTTATATTCGGTCATATAAGCTAATTTCAAAACAGCTCTGATGTTGTCGAAGGTAAAGGAAGAGAAAGAGAAGAGCAAGAGAATGGGAAAGCCGGGACAAAAGGTCAGGTCGACAGCAGATCATCAAAACGTGCCTCGATAATGAGAAGAAGGGCGGTCGTCGCCATGATTACTGATCGCATCTTCACCAGACCTTACTAGCAGCAGGTAAATTCTCTAGTAAGTCAAATATCCAACATGGACATTGGATCTCTTCGCAATCTCTGGAACTTATCGATGCTCGCCAGCATATTCTGGCTGGCAACGAACCCAATTAGACTCCCCGTAGTTGGGCTAAACCAACTTACAATTAAACATCTTTTGAAGCTGGATAAATTTAATTCCACTTTAACTGGTTTGTCCTGCCTATATGAATAATCTTCTATTAACTTGCACACGTTGTTAACGCTAATTGTGCTTATCTTCGTTAACATTATTGCGTTTGTAGCATATTTTGAGTAACTTCTAGACATTTTGTACGTATCGCGGATTCGTTGCTAACCTACTTACTTCATAGGCTAATTCAGCGAAGTTATGCCTGCGTAACCGTATTCTTTAACAAACATAATTTATTTGATAGTGTCGTTTCAAATGATTGGCTGTTGCTTGACATCTTCGGGGTAGCTGCGTTTGATGTGCATGTTCAGATGGTGGCTACCTGTCTATTACTCACTACCTCGTCTATACTGGCTGCAGGAGACGGGGTGCACGATCCTTGTGGTCATGCTAGGCTCGAAGAGTGGTTCCACGCACTCAATGTGGAGCGGACTACGGTCCAGCCACCGCCTGTGTGCGCTTGATTCCCCAACTACAGCGTGCTTGTGATTGCCTGTGAAGGAGAGTCGGTCGGCTCCGTTGATGAAACCTGGCTCCCATCCACATGCCTCCCGGTCACATACCTTCGGGTTTACACTGGATATGGGTGTATGGTTGGAGATGCGGATGGTGCAGCGCAAGCCATCCATAGTCCCTCTGTAGGCGCAGGCGTCTTGTGGTAGGCAAATCCGAAACCGGATGCCGCCAATCATTGGGAATAGTTTAACGAATAGATATAGATGCAAACGAAACCATGGAAATTCTAAGAAGAATACAGGTTTAATCACCATATCATCATGGTGGAGCATTAGCTGAAGATGGGTAATACATTTCAGTTATTGTACCGTCATAACGGAACTGTTTTGGTTATTTTTCCATACACTCCTTTTTATTTATTGTCGTTTGCAATCAGTAAGCACTAGACATCTGAATCTAAACAAGTATGTACACAAATCTTCCACTGGTTTCGACTAGGCGCCATATCTCATAATGTTGTTAGCCAACGGCACTGTTCATCTTTGATCCCCAAACAGGCAGGCGTGTGGATGCAACGGCAGCAAGACTTGAAGTCAACGATTTCATATGCTGACGCCAAGTGGGCGGCTGACCACCACCACGCGGTCTCATCCAGCCAAACCCTGCAAGAGCGAAAAGGGGGCAGTAAGGCAAACGCTCAGCTGATATATGCAAAACGTGACCGAGCCATCTTAGTTGACGCAGAAAAACCAGCATGTGGAGGGCCATACTCGCATCCCCTAGGGCACGACGTCGGACTTCGCCACAGAAAAAATGTTGCTGCCACCACACATGAGCATTCCTCTTTAAGCACTCAGTGTCACAAGCCGAGAGCCGACGCATGCCATCCACGCGAACTACCCACGACTCACTTCCATATAGCAACACACTCCCCTAACGGTGGCACTGTACACGCGACCCTTTACCAATAGGGAGACATCTCGACGATGCCACAAGTGCTTCAGGTTGACGAAGGCTGACCGAGTTTTAGTGATGTGGAGAGAAACATCCTTCTCAATAGAGCCACCAGCAGACACGCAGTTGTCAAGGTAGACAAAACGGTGCACTTGTGTAATGTGTAATCAAGAGTGAGCACGGGAACGGGCGAGTGCCAATCATGGAGTAGAAGTCAGATGACTCAATCGCCAAACGGTATAGAACGGTTTGCATGCTCTGCGAGTCGTCATCAAGTAAGGCGATATCATCGGCATAAGCTAAGGCAGTCGCTCGCTTACTTGGCAGTAATTGTAGTCAAAAATTTTGACAACCTTCCAAAGCTCTCGGCAGGACGTCTTCAATCGCAAAAGTGAAGAGAAAAGGGGACAGAGGGCAGCCCTGTCGTACACCACTATTGACAGCGAATGACGACGAAAGCATGTTATAGATCCTCACTCTGCCGGAGATGTGGAGGTAGAGTGCGCGTAGGATGGTTGTGTAGTTTTCTGAGACCCTGTTCCTTAGCAAAAAACGCCACAGCGCAGGTGGAACAACCGAAACAAATGCAGCACGGATGTCTAAAAATGCTACGATGGTAGGCCTTTGGTAGAGGTGGTGGTTTTCGAGGATTTGGCGGAGCGTGAATATTTGATCCACGCACCCACGGCCAGGACGAAAGCCGGCTTGTTTTTCCCGATACTGCGATTCACGAAAGGAGGAAAGTCTACGGAGTAGAATGAACGCGAAAAGCTTGGAATTGACACTAATGCCCCGGTGATTGGTGAATGAATTGCGAACACCCTTCTTATAGATCGGGACAATAAGGGACTCGCCGCAGGAAGAAGGAACCTTTTCTTCTTGCCAAATTTTGAAGAACAATGAGGTTAACTGGCTGTTGATAACTGCGCCTCCATACTTGAACAGCTCCGGAGGAAGTCCGTCTGAGCCAGCAGCCTTAAATCGGTTCAGATGTCGAATCGCAAGAAAAACTCCTGTTTAACTTGGCGGATCAAGTGCAATGACCCAGGGCGAGCGGCTTGGGTCGCATGGCATACAAATGGACGGTGAGGGCCAAATGAACTGGAAATGGAAATGTTCGGCCCATCGATCCAAGCGTTTCTGTAGGGTTGTTAGAACCCAAGGGGCAGGCGGTAATCCTTTATTGCTAAAGTGGCTTACACTAGGTATGTTCGTTCATACCTTGGAGGCGTCCGTTCATCTGCGTGATCTCCATGGAGTGTTCCCCAACTGCTGCTTGCCTCTGTGTTCACTCCTCGTGCGCATGGAACTGTAATCCTGATGTCATCCAACTTTGGGGAAGTCGGCAGGGCTCGCTGTTGGTGTGTTATCTTGCACCACCACACTACTTATACCCGGTGCAGTAGTATCTACCTTTAATCCATCACAGGGTGACAATCGGCGAACCATCCGCTTCGCAAATAGTTTCACTCACGCAAGACTTTTTCTAGCCAGTGGATTGAATGAGCTGAAAGAGCTTGCAAGTATTGTTAGACAGGACAGCAGCCTCCATTTCCGAAGCGCACAGACCACCAGGCTTCACGATCACTGCGTAGGCTACGTTTGAGCTGCCGACTGACAGAACGGCGCACTTCATTTTGGTTGGACGCCGCAAGAATTTTCCTGCGGCCATCAAATAGATCTAAAGAGCGCGTGGAGATGCATGCCTTCATAGGGTGCCGAGTAAGACCACATACTAACTGTCCGGAAGATATCATGGTGCCCAGCATGAACGTACAGTGTTCATCAATGTCTTGCGGAGGGTCACAACTAAGTGTATCGGCTAGGGAAGCTTGATAGCACTGCTGAACCGAGAGAGTAGATATCATTTTAGAAAACTTAGTAGACGACCGGTTAATATATTTATGGTGATACACAACGTTTCGCTTTTGACACAAAAATTACCAAGTTTTCTGAAATGATGACTTCCCGATCGGTTCCAAATATGTTCCAAAATATTGAGAGAGTAGATAGTTTATGTGTATCCATCTTAAAGTACTTTGTTTTTGGGGACCCTCCGAAACTCATACAGATATTCGCACAAACAAGAGCATGGTCTGAGTCAGGAAAGGTGGACCAGATTGATTTGCTATCATTTACACTACCACGCCATCGGAAACTGATTGCCATGATTGGGGTGGAGAAGGGGGCCGTCAAATAGCGTAACGTCTTCCCGAATGCCGAAAGTTGGTGCTCAACGGAAATAAACGATTGTCTTCGCGCAATGTGAGAAGTCTCTCCCCATTATCCGAGCGGTTCTCATCGAGAGCATGGTGAATACCGAAGTGACTTTTACATGACAATAGATGACCGACCCATGCGTTGAGATTCCCAGCAAGGATAACAATATCGGATTTGCGAGCTCTGCCCAAGAGCTGGTGAAGTTCACGGCAGAAATCGTCCTTGACCGAGTCGGGACTGCAATCAGTGGGAGCGTAAGCCGAGACCACAAACAAGCTGTGTCACTCCTCACGATATCTGTTGATTCTGCATGATCCCCGAAGCCGAACTGCACACCGTCGGCTATTAATCGGAAACCAGTCCACCAGCCCGGCTTCGGCTTGGCTGCTTAGCGTTACACCAACGCCAGCTAAACCTGCCGCAGCTGCATCTGTCACCAGATAGACGTAGGTGAAATATGGCTCAGTGGGGGGTGGGAGATCACAATTCAAACGCAGTACTGAAGTCTTGTAAGCATGTTTCTGAAAGACAGCAAACATCGGTGGCAAGGGAGTCCAAGGTGCGCGCTAGATCAGCATGCTGCTTCATCTGCATGAGCGTACGTACATTGAAGCCTGCAAGGCGAAGGAGGACAGAGGCTGAAGGAAGGCTACTGGATGAACTCTATTGGTGTCGACGAAACCATCGGGAGTGGAATCATGGAAACAGGAATCAGCTGGTAACGGATAATAGTGATTGGAAACAAGTGAACAGGTGGCGTGTGAATAAGGAGTGCACTTAGCAGAAGTAAAGACAGCTGATCTCGATATAGCAGACGAACAATCCATGGTTTTGTCAGAGGACGTGATACTACCCGGTTTTCCAAGCCGAAGTAGGGAGTTGTCTTAGGGGACTCCACCCTGAGCCTTTAGCTAAATAGCCTACCCGCAAGACAGCGGGGCGAGTTCAGGGTAGCGCACTCATTGGGAGTCACTAACTGAATGTCCAGTTCATACGGCTTTTGTTTGGTAGGTTATCAAACGGGGGTCCAATCCATCCCATGAAATCAACACAATCGTTAGAGTACAATGCCCCACCGAGGTGAAACAATGCCGCCGAACACTTCGCTGAGACGGGGTACACCCGAACCACCCAGCTGGCATCACGAGAGGTAGTTCGGCAATCTGGAACTTATCGATGCGCGCCGGCACGTTCCGGCTGGAACCGAAAACAATGAGACTTGCGAAAACCTCCGGGCAAAACTGCGTGCTAGCCTAAAGTGTGACCGTGAATCCTGGTGGTCTCATCGTGCGTCCGAGATAGAAGTGACCGCTGCCATTAGTAACCATCGGAAGATATCCCGTCTGTAACGAGAACCAGGCAGCAGGAGACCTGGTGTTAGTGAAACTATACGCGTTGGGCTGAGCATTTTGAAAGGCAATTTAATCGGCCGGAATTGTGAGATTTCTCGCCGGCCACTGATTGCCCTGCTCCCTAGACTGTCCCTTTGGATCCGCCCACTCGCTCAGAAGTTGAACACGAGACCAGATAATCTGTATCCAGCCCTCTTCGAATTCAGGGGCCCTGCACTTGTTAGTGATTAACACGGGCTACTAGTTAAACTGTGGGAGCAGAAAACTGTCCCGACAGACTAGAGCCACTCCATAGTCTAGTCCCAATTTTCAAGGAGGGCTCACAATCGGAATGCGGCAACTATAGAGGAATCCGTCCGATCCTCATTGCCTCCAAATTGCTTGTGTCTGTCATCCTTCACAGATTGACTTGTGCTCGTGAAAGCCAAATTCGTGAAGAGCAAGCCGGGTTTCGTCGAAGTCGAGGTTGCATGGACCACATCCTCACTTCGCGTCAATTTCTGGATCACCGTCACATATATTGGCGGCCCACTGTTGTCATGTTCCTCGATAACAAAAGTGTACTCGATTCGGTTGATCGAGGTCCCCTGGACACTGTCTATTCAGGAAAGGTGTGCCCGAGCAATATGTAAACATTATCCGAGCATTATACGCGTAGCTCGGGCACAGTGAGTGCTTACGGCAAGCTGTCATCGCCCTATAATATCGCCAGCGGTGTGAGACAAGGATGCCCGCTGTCAACTTTCCTCTTCAACTTCGCTATTGAGGAAGTCATGGAGAACGCGTTCAAAGGACATGAATTAGAGGGTGTGGAGCTGCTCTCAGGTGAACAACTTCTGGACTTGGAGTATGCTGACGATATTGCCAACATCTGTGACAGCTCAGATAGGTGCCAAGCGGCACTGGACAGATTATCACTGGCTGTCAACAGTTTTGGGTTTTGATTTGCACCCGCAAAGTGCAAAGCTTTGATCCAAGATTGGTAGGGACCGCCTCCTGCGCTGACCCTTGGTAGGGATAAGCTAGAAGTTGTTCAAAAGTTCAACTATCTAGGTAGTTGTAGCAGCGCCGTCGGAATTGAAGACGAGGTCACAAACTTTATAGCAAAAGTACGAGACGCATTTGCTAACCTTTGCTACCTATGGCGCCGGCGCGACATCACTCTCTCCCCGAAGGGTAGAGTGTACAATGCAGCCGTACGTCCGACCCCGCTGTACGGTTGTGAAATCTGGCCCATTACATCAGCAAACATAAGGAGGCTAGTTAAGTTCGACCGCCGGTGTCCTCGCAGTTTGGCTCATCTCTGGTGGGAACACCGCGAGAGCAACAAACGTGTTCGACGCCTTGTTTATGGCTCATGAAGAGGAAACGAACCGCTCAGCATCGTTATTTCACGCACCAACCTCCGATGGCTGGGCCACGTGTTGCTCACACCAGTCCACCGACTCCCGCGACGTGCGTTGTTTGCGCGCCCGGGGGTGTGGATTGAAGGAGGGTTGGCCAAGCGATGACTTGGTCGAGAGCAATGAAGGCCCTCACTTTGATGTTGGCCTCGGCTGGAGTCTCGCAGTTTCCTGGTTGGGGTCCAAAAGATGATGAACACGGTTTGCTGGATACACTTGCTGACATGGGTAGGAGCTGACCTCAGTGGCGTACGTGTTGTGAGTTTCTTTGGCCCTCCGCATCCCTCTTAGCCTCCCCTCCAAAGGCGACCTCATTTCTTAGCATAATACAAATTTCGCATAATAAGGTTTCTTATTGCTGCATAGTAGCTGGTTGGTAGCGTTCCGGAACGAAACCCATCCGTTATTTGTAGCTCAGTGGGCGTGCACCTGTTGTGTTTTTCCTTTCCTACGTATTGTGGTACAGTAGCTGAGGTGTTTTCTACCTCTAACTAAGGTGCATAATGATAACAATGATACACGTAGCGAGCCCTGGAATGTAGCATTGTGTGAAGACTAGGATGATTATTTTCGCCAGGAGGAAAGGAAAATTCCAGAAAGGAGCAACTTCCTTTACTCCATAGCATCCCCTATGGGTCCGTAAAGCCTCATTAACCTCGTGATGATTGTAAAATATAATTAGTTCGAAAATGAACGTTGCTCAGCACTAACAACAAAAGAACGGTAGATTAAGCGCGTCTAGTGCAAAACGGTGTGTCTGGTTGTGGGTAACATGGTTATGAAACACTTACTCGAGAAATTCGGAAACCAAGGCCTCCAGGATAGGTAGGCTATTGGGATCCACACGGGTGCAAGCGATCAGTTCACGTAGTTTGACTGAAGTTAGGGAAGAGAAGAATATTAGTAGTGTGTGTGTGTGAGGAGTAACACACAGGGAGTGTCTGTCGAAGTAAATAACATCCACTATCCATCGGAAGTCGGTCACACACAACCAGGTATGATGACCAAGGCGTACGGAGCCATAACAAAACCGTTGAGATCGAAACTCACCAAAAAGTCGCAATAAATGCATCGACCCATAGACGTCGGACATACGTTTATCAGCATGTTGTTTGAGTAACTCAGCGTATTGTAGTCGCTCGAATTTGTACAGCAACTGCGAACCGAGCACTTGATTGAAGCAGTGTTGAAGTCCGGCGACGAATTCGTGTCGGATGTCGGACGTGATGCACACCGAGGGGGCGGTTGTATTGGCACTAATAGCCGTGTCGTCTGTTAGCTCGGTCTTCATTTCAGCTGGTGACGCATGTTGCAAGAAGTCCATCATCAAAGATGATATTGGACAGGACGACGGAAGTTCATACAGCTGAAGTAGATGGGAGGCAGTAAAGAGCTTGAGATGATTTCCTTGAAAAACGAAAATTTCTACGACAACGTGACACCTGATTTTAGGCATACTAGGATTAAGACAGTAAACTTTTGAGCCAACGAAGATAATACTAAACACCTTTAAGTAAACAGACATCTCTTCAATCAAAATGTCCGTAACTGCTTCGCGTTGAAATATAACCAGAAACACGAATTTATTTTTTGTGAGTGACAATGCCCCAGTTTACGGAATACAAGTGGACAACAATGTGCCGTGGCACATTCCGTAATGAGCAAAATGGGAAAGTAAATGAAACAACGCGAGTCGAAAGGAGAGGATACCGTAATGCAATAAGGATGGAGAGAGAGTGAATGCTTGACTGCGTGGTTAGATGTTCGGTTGGCTGGTGGTAAAAATGTAACCAACAATGGAGGTGATCGGCTCCACCGATTCAAATCTAGAAAGTGACATTTACTCGTGTGAATTCAGTCTAAGATTAATTCATTCAATCTCTTCTACCAAGCCGCCGACTACATGATTTCAGGACTCATTCAACTTAGCTACCATTTTTAAAAAGAACGCCAAACCTAAGCAACCGGTAGGTCCGGGGTTTAGTGATTCAGGCGTCCGACTTATAATATTTGCGCCATTTGTTCAAGCCCCTGTTCCTGTATGGGGTTGGAAGTCTTGATAATATCCTAACAAGGGTTTGACTGTTAGCAGTTGTAGACAGCGCGGATTATGAGTCCAAAGTACCGGAGTATTGCGGACAACTTAATTCTATCAGAGTCAGACAGAGGTTTACGGACCACAGCAGTCGCTTATTGCTTGTAATGTGTTGAGGGTATGTCTCGGATTCCCTATGGTGTTGTGTCGGCGTCGTTTTGGTTGCTCACAACTCCCAGGTAAACAGCTCAACATCCCATGGAGTAGGTGCTGCGGGAGAAAGAGACATGGGATCTCAATGTGTTGTTGTGTGACCGCCCCGTAAAAAGCGACTCGACGGGTTGTGTGAGTAAACCGGTCGTTCACTGATTGTGTGGATACATCATGGACCAACGGAAAGTTTCCGCAGACCCCCTAGAAGAGCACGAAGTCGCGGTATTTCAGAAGAGGTGATGAGGAGCGGGCGAAAGTTTGGACAGATGCACATGATGGTACCGTAACTTTTTGTAGATGAAGCTGGTGCCAGCTAACCTGAGGGTACTCAGTCTGCATCATATATTGTAAAGGCTGGATTGACTCTAGCACAAGTGCATACCTAGAGTGATGAAACATCCTATACAAGGGCTCTGTAGAAGTAAACACCGATACCAAAACTCCAATTCAGTTCAGTCAAACAATTGTGATCTGGGTACCAAAGTGCGGTGAATCCGGTTGCCATGATCCACATCTACAGAATAACAATGATGAGAAGATGAGGAAGAACGTAGATAGAGTGCAAAATTAAAAGCCGGAAGCAAAAACGGAATGTAAGAGCCTCACTGACTACGTGACTACGACATGTCTGACAGTGGATCAGCTGGTCAACACACTGTCCGGTGCGGTGAAAGTCCGTTTTGACGGCCCTACGCCCCATTAACCGCGATTATAACACATTACGGTCACCCCAACTGACCAATAGTAGAGCAACTTTCATTTGAACACAGTCAAATGAGAGCAGATAGTGAGGACGCCAAAATCGTGGACAAACAAGTTCGTGCCTTTGCTGTTTTTTGAGGGAGGGGGGTCGGCTAATATAGGGACTTACGACTTTGGAGAAATTTCATATTGCAGTTATATTGTCGGCCTATATATAGACGGGGTTGTATTCGGTAATATACCACCGAGCGTCATATTACCATGCGGCGTGAGATCGTTGTTGGAAGAGGATGATAAGCGGCAAGAGGAGGGACAAAGAAACTCATAAGACAAACGCCATTGAGGTCGACTCTTCGCCATGTCAACTAGTGTATGCAACCAAACGTGTTCATCGTCCTTGAGACCCCAGCTTGGCAAACCGGAGACACCAACCGACGCCAAGTTCGAAGCGAGGGACTTCATTCCTCTTGACTAAGTCATTGTTTGGCCTCTGTCCTAGTGAGGCATCAGAAGGTTTCTTACAAAGAATCAACTGGCGAACCTCAACACTGCTCAATCGGTGCTCCAACCAGACGTGGATAATACTCCGCAAGCACCGGTGATCGAAAATGGCCAATCACCTAGTGTCTCGAGCGCGAAATGATCATGATTATAATCAATACAGCGACCCTAGCTGCCCCGAAGGTCGTGAACTTTACCCTTAACTTGTAGGCTGATGTTGCGCAGTCTCCGCGGATGATTGAGATATTCAAAAGCCACACGGTCTGTGTCACAAGGTGAATTAATAACCTCCACAGTGATGTAGTCACTAGTGGTGATACGACTACCACCAGGATGAGAGAACCAGTCGACCACTTCCGGTGGTTGTTCGGTGATAACTAGAACTGGTGGCGTGTCGCCTCAGTCCTGCAGTAATTGTTCTCTGAAAGTGTAAATAACATATCGGAGAGTACTACGGACACGCTGACACCAATTCACGTATTTCTATCGAACTGATCGATATGTCGGAAATCCACTCACAGTTAAGATGCCGCAAGTTGGGCGGACATAAGGCTTCAGATGTATTTTTCATGGTATGTTTGAGACGATCCCAGCTGGCATTCGGCTCGCCAACATTGTTGTCATTGAAAACTGGTGGGCCAGTCCGTCGTGATATTGATGAACTGCGAACTGAGTTCAGGTTAAGTGTACGGAGCTTAGATGTTAAGTCCATTGCTGAAACCACTGGCGTAATCGGAGTCCAGACACGCAGTTCAAGTATAATACTGAACTGCGATATAGAAGCAAATGTTGGTAGCTCAGGTTGTTTAGTTGATTGGCTGATTGTTCGCTGAGCTCGGCAGGTTGACTGCAAACGTTTCGTCATCACTCGAGGTGACATCGTCAGTGCGAGTGTATTTAGCAGTGTGGCGCGTACGAGGCGTCGGTGAGTGTGAGTGATCGATCTCCTAGCCGCTACTCTGAGTTTGGATTGTTCGACGAGCACATGACCATAGAAATCGATCTCTGATTCTTACCTCGTAGTGTACGCGCGTGGGACGCTTCGCTTGTGGTCGTTTGATGCAGTAGTCTAGCGCTCTTTTCCGTTAGATTTCTTCTAGTAATTCGGTGATCTTTCATTCGTAATGCCGTATATATAGCATCTATTTCAACATGTCGGTTTATTGAGCTGTCGGTGGAATACCATGCCTCCAAGAATTCTCTAGCTTGCTTCGAATTTCCACGGGCTAGGATCTTAACGTTCTCTAGATCGAAGTGGTGGCCTTCTTGGTCTTCATGCATGGAAACTAATGAATGCGGGTCGTGTCTCCGTATGGCCATTCTGTGTTCGTTGATCCGTGTTGATAGTTTCCTTCCGGTTTGTCCGATGTAGTGTTTGTCACACTCTTTGTAGTTAATTTTGTAGATGACATCATTCTGACTGCCTTGTTTAACTTTGTCTTTCGGTCTTGAAAGCAATCTTCGCAGAGTACCTGTTGGTTTGTGGGCTACCAAGATTCTATGTGGTCGTAGCAACCTTGACGTCAGTTCCGATACATTCTTGATGTAAGGAAGCGCCACTCGTTTATCAATGTTTTCCTGCTGTTGTTGCCGCACCCTCTTCTTTAGGCTTCTTCTGATGAAGTTTCTTGGATACCCGTTGTTTTGCAATACCCGGTATAGGTGGTTCTCTTCCTTCTTCCTCAATTCTGTCGTGCTGCAGTGTGTTTCGGCCCTATTGAAAAGGCTTTGAATGCAGCTTTTCTTGTGGTTCAGGGGATGGTTGCTGTGGTAGTTTAATATTTGGTCGATGTGAGTCTTCTTTCGATATACACATGTCTGAAGTGTTCCGTCAGTGTTTCTTTGGACCAGTACATCTAAGAATGGTAACTGGTTGTCTTTTTCGAGTTCAATTGTGAACTTGATATCCTGGAATGTGTTGTTGATTAACTCATGGGTATTCTGCATGGAATCTCGTTTGATGACGACAAACGTGTCGTCCACGTACCGGATCCATAATTTTGGTTTAATTAACGGTATTGTGATGCTCTCCAGTCTTTGCATCACAGCTTCTGCAATAAGTCCTGAGATGGGCGATCCCATGGGCGTTCCTTTCAGTTGTTGGTATACTTGCCCATCAACAATACTGAACTGACGCGCACCACATGTAGCTGATGGTAACGGTGGGCTTCAGATGACAAGATGTGGACGTTTGTGCTGGAATGCAGTGTCCCTAATATGAAGATTGTGGTAAACACGGAGTTGAAGAAACCAGTCATGATCATCTGTTCGGTATAGATCGGTCCTGAAACGGCCTCTTATGTGCCGTCTACAGTCCGATAGGCAACCCACCTAAACATCTGTGTCACCAGTAACAATCGTGATATCCGTACTCCTCGCCACACGGACAAGATACGAGATCTGTAGAAATAAAAACTTTTGAAGCCACCGAACCGCGTTAGTGTAGGGCATACGCTAAAACGACAAGACATCCTTTCTTCATATGGTGCATGTTAATCACCATCATCACCATCATTATACACGTTAGCTAGAGGTGTAAAGCACCTCAGCTACTGTGCCACAATACATAAAAGAAAAAGAAAATAAATACAACAGTTGCATGCCAGCTGAGCCACCAGCAACGGATAGGCATCGTTCTGGAAAGCTACCAGCCGGCTACTAGGCAACAAGAAAAATTATTATGTAAAATTATATTATGCTACGAAATGAGATCGTGGTTGGAGGGGGAGGCTAAAAGGGATGGGGGGGGGGACAAAAAACTCACAGCAGGAACCCCACTGAGGTCGGCTCCTAGCCATGTCAGCAAGTGTATCTAGGCAAACGTGTTCATCGTCTTTTGGACCCTAACCAGGTAGCCGTGTAGCTCCAACCGAGGCCAGCTCCGAAGTGAGGGCCTTCATTCCTCTCGACCAAGT